GATCAGGCAAATCTTCATCTTCACTAGCATAGTGCCAGTTGGCTTGAAGTTTGACATTTGTCGTACCAGCAGGACATGGAATAAGATAGACATCATTGCCATTCTCATCCTTTCCCTTGATAGCATCGTGAAAGACATTTGACATATCAAAATATCCAGTTTTCACAATCTGCGGAGTTCGAGCTTGAGTTGCATCAAATCCTTGGCACACTTGAGCACCACTGAAGCCTTGCCGGCTGAGTTGCATTCCACTGAACGCAATCTCACCGATAGCATCAGAGGACCTGTTCTCGTTCAATCGCTGTTGCATAGAAATCCTGTTGCAAGAACGGCTTCAAAGATATCATCCTTGAACTTGTTTTGAGCAGCAGTATCGGTGCTAGCAATAGCAGCATACGCTTTCGTCTTGACTGCAAAATCTTGGAACCAGGCCATGCCATATAGATCTTGCAGGACTTCAGCCTGTCTCAAGAATTGTTCCTTGAAATGCATCAAGTTTTCCGTTGTTCCTTGCTTCATAGCAAAGAACTTTTGATTTGCTTCCCAGAAATCCAAGAAATCATACTCAGCATCAGCACTCTTCTTCATGAATCGTTCAATACGTTTCAAGAGTTCAATAGGATCTTCAAGAGTAGTCGTGAAGTTGGCTTCACCTTGAAGCTTGATATCCATTGCCTTTGTCACAAAGTTCAGCATGATGTTTGATTTGACGGTTCTCTTGTTTGTCTCGAAGTAGGCTGATCTTTGCATGTTCTTGTTGAGCTTTGCAGCCATCTCTGTTTCTCTTGCAACAGCTTCAGTTTGAGTTGGAGCGTTCAATCTTGGAGCGATCGCATTGAACTTTCCATCTCAAATTGATTTTACGATGTCTTTGGAGCATTTCATTCCAGAAGCTTGGATATAATCAATCACTCTTTCTTTGGCATCTTTGTACAACGATCTTGCCTTTCCATCGTTTTTGTCTTTTGTTGAAAATAGATGTTTCACAACTGTTGAGCTCAAATTGCTCTTGACTTTCTGAGGAGTCACACGTCTTCTTCCACCACCAGATGAAGAACGTCCCATTGTCAACGAATCACTCACTCCTTTGTAGATAAAGCAGTGCTGTTCTTGACGTACTAAATTTGTTTTGTTGCGTTTTGTGATTGAATGTTAGAATAATGCAAAATGTGCTCTATCGTGAGTGCCTTTAGCGCTCAGAACAAACTCTCTGCAATCTAAATTTGTAATCGACTGTACAACACTTTCACAACAATAGTTCTCCTGTGTCTAGGTATACTTTGAGTGAGATTGTTCCTATTTGATTAATATTTGGCTTGAATTGATGATTCAATCACAAAAGTAAGTTCAACAATTTTCCCTTGGAAAATCCCTTGTTTACAGAACTTGATTCGACCTCTACGACAATTATGTGTTGGATGCAGTACTTTGGGACATCTTGTATTATTCCCTACTGCATTGTACACAAAATCGATATCACACTTGAATAGGGTCATTCCCTTTTTGTGTGGATGTAGATTGTCCAACAGACTTGCGTCCGGCACACTTGTGTCGAATCCCAACATCACGATCAAAGTCCGATCGTACATGTCAAAAACTTCGTACTTTAATAGTTTCTTTTCGGAACGTAAAAACTCATATTTCGTCATATCCCAACACTGGGACCCCGCAAGGGAGTGGAAGTTTGGATCAATTGGACTTTCAGAATTGTAGATATTTGGAACAGTGTAAACAAATTTGTTCTTTCCCCATGTTTGTCATCGTACTCGTTTTCGTCCCAAATCTCTTGTACCTCGCTACTCAATATAACGGTTTATCAGACCCAAGCAATCCACAATGGATAGAGGAGCCTAGGAAGGCTTTCGAATAATATCTGTTTGAGGAAATCGCCTCATTCAGCCATGGTTAGGATCACCATCGTCGTATTGATCTCGTGATTTGTTCATGCCACAATTTTGGCGTTCGGATGCACACCAAAGGCTAATCACGTCGCAGCGTTAACCAAATTGTTCGCTAGCGAAGGCTAAATGGCAGACATGCCATGCGTGCAACCATCCGTGCCACGTTTATATACAGCTCTCAATATGAGATGCTTTGACATTTAGGGCTAAATTATTTGAAGTTACCAGATATCACCAATTTTCGCCTTCTGGCGATTCTCTCCAGTGATTTCTGACTTCAAGTCCGACACTTTTCGACCTGAAACCAAACAACACATCAAAAACAACAAAATTGTCAATCACAATGGCTGCTGTTATCCAATTTTGTAACTGGTGCAAAACCAATCTCCTTATTCAACCTGCCCTCACGCAACACATGACTGACGTTGAAGGTCTTGACTCTGTTGACTCCTTTGGAGTCAACAGAACAACTTCTCAAGTTTGTGAAGACATCAAATCTATGCGAAGAGCTCCAGATCCCACCAATGCAAATGCAACTATCAGAGTCACCACTCGCGAATCGATGACGATTCATTGTATCTCCAAATATGGGAAGCTCCTCATTTTGGTCCAAAGAACCCACACTCCAGCTCTTGGAACCATCCCAAACCTTCTTTTTATTGGTCAATTCTATGATGAAAATCCGGATCTCATGGAAGGGGACTCCTACCCACTTACTCCTCATCCCCCAAAGTTCAACAATCACGATGGCCAAATCATGATGGAAAACATTGAGAGTTGGGCTCGTACTGCCTATGGATATTGTGGAATTCGCCTTGATTACATTTTCCTTGAGAATTCTGAACTTCCAGTTGCTGGTGATCCTGGATTCCTCCAAGCCGATGACGGCTCTCGCTCCATCGAAGAAGAACTTGTCCAACGTGCTGCCCATACTGGTGCTGTGTTCCGTCGCAACAACCAGAATTTTGGGTTATGCTACATGCAGTCACACATGAAACCGATGCCTACAATCATGTCCGTCAATTCGCTCCAACTTTGAATGGTCGCGCTGCTTACTTTGCTCTGTTTGCACAATATTGTGGAAGGGGACATTTCACAAATGAACACCAAGCTGCTGTCCGTGTCCTTGCAACACTTTCACTGGAACGGTAAAGCTTGAGGCTTCACATGGAATACTTTTATCAGTCGCCTTATCGGAGCCTTCAACAACCTCGAGTTGAACGGTGATCCATGCTCGGATGCAAATAAGGTTGACGTACTTCTTGAGAAAACTGTTGGAGATTCCTCACTCTCTTATGGAAGATCACATATTACTGGAGATGCCGTTCTCCAATCAAATTTCCAAGGTGCCATCGATTATCTCACAACACAAGTTTTAGCTGCCGGTAACAACAACACCCAGCGCCGCAATCGACAACTTGCTGCTTTTACTCGTGGTGGTGGCGGATGCGGTGGTGATGGTAGAAGTGGAGGTCGTGGCCGAGGAAATGGCGCCACAAACCGTCTGCAATCAAATGTACCAGATCGCTTTAGCCGAAATGGGATACTACTAAATGATGGAGGTTATTCAAATCAAATCTGGAGAGAGGAGTTTACACAAGAAGAAAGAAATATTTGTTTAGAAATGCGTCACAACCGTTGCAATGGTGGTGGTTGTGGCGGAAGAGGCCGTGAAGGCCGTGGTGGTCGTGGTCGTGGGATCAGCGCTGTCCATGATGGACGGGCTGATCAAGAAGAAACAAAAGAAGAAAGTAACAATGAAAGTAACAATGATGGACGTGGGGCAGGTGCAGGAATGAGTCGTCGCCGTCGTTGACTAGGAACCTCATCTGTTAGATCCCTCACGAGCACTTGCCAAAACTCTCGTATGGTATCAGTGGTATCATCCACAAACACCCTTACCAACCGATGTGAACTGGACTCGCACGCAGATACATGTGCTTTTGACCCTGCTGGATGTTGCGTCCTTTCAACGTCCTCTCAGTCAAGAAATGTCACCGGTTTTCACAATGGTTTGAAAATAAACGATGTTCAAATTGGAAATGTCTGTCTTGCCTATGACTGTCCCTTTGACCATCGAACCTACTGTCTGCATTTCTGTGAAGTGCTTTTGATCCCTGGTCTAGGATCGCATCTACTCTGTGTCGATCAACTGCGTGCCAACAGCGTGGTGGTAAATGACGTGCCGTTAATCCGATTACGGCCTGAACAACAAAACAGAGAAGCTCATGCTATTTTGACATCGGGTATACGGATCCCGCTCCTATTTGACAAGCCAATTTCCTATTTTACATGTCGCCAACCTACCAATGCAGAGGGCAGCGATATAATGGAGTTTCAGCCTGTTTGGATGACTGCAGACATTCCTTGGCAGCCTTATGATCCTGATTCCAGGCGCCAAGAAGAAGCTCTGCGACAACAGATTGATGCTGATTATCAAGCACCGTATCACCAACTCGCATGTTTCACTCGACTTGATTCAACGCTCCCAACTGCTGCTTGCCTTGATTGTTTACCGCAAGTTTTTGGGGACAACAACAATGTCATATGTGGCGTACACAGTTTGACAATTCGACCGATGAAAACTTCCGGAAAATCCTACCTCATCAAGCCAGATCAACTTGCTCGTCGATGGAGAACCAGTATTGAATGTGCTCGTCGCACCCTGGAGAAGACAACTCAAGGTGCCGTTTGTGATTGGTCGGTCATTCAAGGGTCTCGCCATTTTTGCCCTGTACAATATCAGTTGGAGTATCTGAGATTGAAAACAAATGTTGATGTTGATGTGAAGTTTGGACCCTGCAAGTCAGCTGAAGGAAACACTTGCGTCGCGGTCTATGCTACACCAGTACAGTGGGCTCGCGCTTATCCGTTGCACAAAGAATCAGATGTTCACACAAGCCTCACACAACTATTTCGTCAATTCGGTTTTCCCCAATGTATCATACCTGATGATGCCAAGTCACTCACTCAAGGGAAATTCCGAGAAGTTGCTAACAAAGGACAAGTGCCGATTCATCCTATTGAGCCTCATCATCCTAATCAAGCACTTACAGAGGACACAATTTGGGAAGGAAGTCGACTTTACCGTCGATTCATATTGAGCCTCATCATCCTAATCAAGCACTTATAGAGGACACAATTCGGGAAGGAAGTCGACTTTACCGTCGATTCATGCATGCAAGGAATATCCCTATTGCGTTCTGGGATCGAGTTTTTATGTATGCTTTTGAGATTCACAGTCACATGGCATTGGGACTTGCGATACAAGAAGGAGAATGTGGAGCCACAATCGTTTCTGGCAACACTAAAGATATCTCTCACCTGGTTGATTTTGCTATTTGGGATTGGTGTTGGTGCCTTTTGCCTAATCGCTCATCTAAGGATGGGAAACAACTATGCCGTTGGCTTGGTCCAAGTTTTACTATTAGAGCAGCTCTTTGTTTTGCTGTTGCTACTGCCAATGGACAAGTACTACAACGATTGTCAGTGATTCTGCTATCAGCTGAAGAACAAAACAGTGAACCTATGGAAGAGAAAAAGAAAGAGTTTATGGAAGACCTAAAGAAGAATCTGAAGAAGAAGTCTGATGGAGTTTCTATCTCTGAAGAAGAACTTGACCGCATTTGGCATATATACAACATGCCGATCTCTGCAATTGAGGATGGTGGTTATCCACAGTATGCTCAGTATGAAGATCACCCACAAGAAGATCCTTGTCACAAGATTGAAGATGATTTCAAAGAGCCGCCGGATCAAGAAGCGGACCCTGTTGAGTTTGATAAATATGTCTCTGCAAAGGTTTCTTTTAATGCAGATGGAGTTGAAAGTTTTGGAGTCGTTCAAGGTCGGAAGCGTGACTCATCTGGAAAATTGATTGGTCATTACCACGAGAATCCACACCTTGACACATCTATCTATCAAGTGGAGTTTGAGGATGGAAAAGTTGAAAGCTTCTATGCAAATCAGATTATTGAAGGGATAGTGATGAATGTCGATGATGAAGGTAACACGATGTACCGGATTCGCGAATTTATTGATCATCAACGTGATGGACGAGCAATTAAAGGGGATGACGGATGGTATACTACCTCCAACGGTCTCAAGCGTCCACGAAAGACAGCTAAAGGATGGAAATTGTTAGCTGAAATGAAAGGTGGAGAAACCAAATGGCTTGATCTATCAGTAGCAAAAGAAGCGTTTCCTATTGAGGTCGCTGAATATGCTGTTGCAAACAAGCTTGTGTCAGAGCCTGCCTTTGCATGGTGGGTTCCCTACACTCTGAGAAAGCGTGATCGAGTTTTGAAAGCTGTTAAGCGCCGTGCTGTGAAAAGGCAGAAACCAGAAAAGTTTGGTATTGAAGTGCCTGGTCCTGGGCCAAAAGGTGTCGCACGTGCGTATGAACTTGATGCTGAGAATGGTACCTCGCATTGGAATGATGCTTTGATCAAAGAGGTCAAGACAATTCTGCCAGCTT